GAGAAAGTCCAAACAGATCTTATTTTATACTATCTAGATCTAAATTTCATTAATTAATGAAAAAGCAGCCAGTAAAAATGAAGGAATAAGTATGATCACTAATCCATCTTTTTATTTTTTTAAATTTTTATATGACAGTGGAATGCATTACAATTCGTATTACACATATAGAGCATAATTTTTCATATCTCTGGTTCTGTACATAGTATATTCACACCAATTCATGTCTTCATACATGTATTTTGGATAATAATGATCATCACATTCCACCATCATTTATAACTCCATGCCCACTCCCTTCCCCTTGAACCCCTCTGCCCTATCTTGAATTCGTCTATTCCTCCCATGTTCCCTCTCCCTATCCCATTATGAATCATCCTCCTTATATCAAAGAAAACATTTGGCATTTGGTTTTTTGGAATTGGCTAACTTCACTTAGCATTATCTTCTCTAACTCCATCTATTTACCTGCAAATGCCATGATTTTATTCTTTTTTATTGCTGAGTAATATTCCATTGTGTTTATATGCCATATTTTTTTTTATCTATTCACTGAGCTACAGCCCCAGCCCACTAATACACATTTTTAATTTACTGGATTTAATTCATCACATCAATAGACTTAAAAGATAAGAATCATATGATCATCTCAGTAGATGCAGAAAAAGCATTTGACAAAATACAGCACCTCTTTATGTTTGAAAAACTAGAAAATTAGTAATGATCAACTTTGTTAAAGTTGCTGCTGAAGATAAGGCCTGAAAATTGGCTTTTCATTGACATTAAAGAATATCATTGATGGTTTTGCAAAAACTTATTTCAGAAGAGTAGTTGACTTGAAAATCTGATCTGGGTTCTTTAGAAAGTATGAAAGGAGAAGAAAGGGGTGGGGGAACCAATAACAACCTCCCCCCCCCAAAAAAAAGAAAACCAAACAAACAAAAAACCCAAAACCCTTTTCTTCATGTTTTTTACTGTAGGTGTAGACAAAAACATGGAGTAGATAACCCAGGGAATCGTGAAATGAGAAAAAAGATTGCCTTTTATTTTTAAATACTTGGAGAATAATAGCATGTTGCATGCTGATGGGAATGATCTGTAAAAGAAGGAAAATATGAGAAGAGAATTGATTGTTAGAGCACAGTTATACAAGGGAAGGCAGAATATGTGAATGTACTCATTGGTGGATAGATGTGATAAAAGTTTGTAGAAGAGTTGTCTGTTTGCTTCAGTGAAGTGGAAAGTAAGAATGAGAGTGATGGAGGAGGGTTGGAAGTTTCAGGAGAAGAGATGGTAAAAAATCATCCATGAGAGTGAGAAGATGGACCAGGGAAGCATAGTGTTAATATTTATTTATTTATTTATTTTTGGCAGGGGGTGGTGGGTGGGTGGGGGATTGTTAAAAGGCATTTGAGGTTCATGGTCAAGAGTTTTAAAGTGAAACCAGTCAGGTATTGTGTTTTCTCTGCAGTGTACATGCAGTCATAGAGTGGGTGGGGAATTGGATTGAATCAAAATTGGATTTGCTATGTGTACATCAGGAGCAAATTGACTTCTATTATAATGAAGTTAAAGTGATCTCCCCCACAACCTGAAAAGGGATGTAAAGAAGGAGCTTCTTAGGAAATAAGCAGATTTTAGAGTAAGAAGGTGCTGGAGAGATTATGTCAATGTCACATGCTCTTAAACAAATAGAAAATTTTGCTAATTAAGTGACCTGAGTTCTAGAGGGCATCCATTGATTTTTTTTCTTGATAGTTGGAGCATCATGGTGTAATTTGCTCCTATCTGAGTGAGCCTACATAAAGGAGAACTTTTTACCTAGGAAATGGACATTTTGATTGAAGTAAGGAAACACAAAATTTTGAAAACAGAAGTAGAATGTTGGGGATAACTTCTAAGATTTATCAAAAGAGTGTCTGATGCAGACTCAAGAAAATCTCCTGCAAAACTTAATTCATCATAATTTTGTCCAGAATGTCTCTTTTCTCATAGGTTTCATTTATTTAGTAAATAAATTCTTTTTTGTACTATCCTGGTGGCCTAGAGGAGGAGGACGAAACCTAAAATTAATCTACTCAATTTTGTAGAAATTTTCTTACTCTCAGTATGTAGTACTTTATATCATGATGATTCTTTCTAATCAGTCATCAGTAGTTGGATTGAGGCAGAAGCCTAACTAACAAAAGGTTAAAGGACTGAGCTTGGGCTGAGGATGTGGCTCAAGTGGTAGCGCACTCACTTGGCATGTGCCGGGCACTGGGTTCGATCCTCAGCACCACATAAAAATAAAATAAAGATGTTGTCTCCACTTAAAAAAAAAAAAGGACTGAGCTTGTGGCTGGCTCAGTGATGGAACACTTGCTTAGCATGTGTGAGGCACTTAGTTTGAGTCTCAGTACTAGATAAAATAACTCAATAAAATAAAGGTCCATCAAGAACTCAAAATTTTTTTTTAAATCAAATTTCAAAAGTTGAAATTAATTTCAGATTTACGGGAAGATTGAAAATATAGTATGAAAAATACTTGCAAACTCTTCAAGATTTTCTAGTATACTACTTTCTCTTTGTGTGTATGTATAATCCTTTTTTTTCTGAACTGTATACTTTCCCTAGGATATGTGTATTTCATATGTGTTTAAATGTTGTTG